AGACAAGGGACAATAAAAGCACCCTGGTAATAGATGTCTCATTGTATCTAATCACTAAAACCAAGTTAATTCAAGAAATAAAACTTGGTTTCATACTATTGGAATCAATTGTTCATTTGACAAAAATTAAAGACCACTAGTTCTTTCTGCTGAGTTTAAGTTTAATTACTGCCACACTGACATACAGAGAATTACCTTGAAATAATAGTCCAGAATTAAAAGATGAATCTGAAGCATTGTCATCAAGTTTTAATATAGTTATGCATTTATTAAAATTGTCTCCAATGATGTAAAATATGTATTTTGTACTTCCAATTATAATTTTGTGAGGAATTAATTAGAAAGGTAAATTGTATATATAATACTGGGTTTCCTTCTTCTGGTACTTCTAATGCGAAAGCCTAATGATTTCTAAACATAAAACATTATTTCCATTCATATTCTTTGTCAGTTCTGCAGATTCAGGGATGATCAGCTCTGTGAAGCCCTCCTATATTCTGGCAATAGGTTATACAATCCAAAAAGTAAGCAACACTCTCCTATTTAAAACTGCTGAGTGACTGCAAATGCCAAGAGAGTGCTGCTCCTACTCTAAGAGTTCAAAAAGAACAAAGTGCTGCAGGTTGCTATTATACTTGTAGTTAACTTTTGCTCCACCTACCAGGTTTCTCAAAGGAAGGTCTCCCAAAATCTGAGGAATTAAACAAGACTTCAGGTGACCAATTCTTTGAAGTGGAGGCACTGTCTCCAGTTTAAGAATCTCCCACCCGAAAGGCACAAGAATTTTGTCTAATGATGCTTTGATCTTATGCAAGTTAGTATTCATATACTTGAAACAGCAATAAAATCTCAAATAATTGCTTATTAGTTTTCCTGATCCAGCATTTCACAATGGAAAAATTCCATTCTTCACGAATGCCGAAATGTATTCTGTCCAGTCATGGCTTGCTGCTAGCATTACATACATTTATCTGGTACCATTTACTTTATTCTTGCAGCACTACCCCAAGTAAAGGCCACAAATGCAAACTCTCCATTTACACTGATTATACAAATATTGGTCTATTGGTTGTGACAAGATAACCAACAACTTAAAATACAATTTTTATGGGTTATTTTGTTGGTTCCGTTCAAATCAGTGAGGGAAAGAAACTGTAAATATCATCAAAAAACATTTCCACAGAGAGAGGGAGAGAAAGAAGATAAAGCAGGTTTCCATGGTTACTTTGTTAACCATCTCCATTTTGCTGTTTACATAGTTTAAAAACTACAAGACACTATAAACAAGAAGAAATTAAATATTTATCTACATTACAGAAAGCTCCCACCATATTCGATGTCTGTTTCAACAGTTGACTGTCCGACTAAGCTCTAAAAGAGACACTGACATCCTCCAGTTGCTGGTGCTATCAAGTACCTTATAGAGCACAGAACCTTATTGAACATGCACAGAGGAAGCTCTCGACTCAAGTTCATTCACTAATAAGCATCTGTAATTCATTCTCAGTATAAGATGATCCCTTGCCTTCAGACCAATGACAAAATTGCAGGTGCCTCACTTAAATAAAAGCTTTTACTTGGCTGTCAGCTAAAACTAACTGACCACCAAAACCTGCTTTCAAGCTCTCTTCATTTCAACAGCTGCAGTTTTAATAATTTACTTCTGATGCAAAAGAAGATCCTTTTATCTTGAGTCATCACCCTAAAGGAAAGGTTAATGCTGTAGATCAGCATTTTTCAGCAAAATGTCATCTAAATCAGGTCATTTTTATTTTGATTTCCTCGAAAGATTTATTTTAGCTAGGCTGTCTGGGGGAGGAATGACAAGTAACTCTGGGATACCACTAGTACTGGAAAGACTCCAGACTCACACTTGAAAGCCTAAAAGTTCTAGATGGAGTCTCCAGCACGGGAAAAATCTGGAGGTATTTTGGAGTCCTTGGTATTTGGATATCGACCTCATTCAGTTAAGAGATGGCATTTTGCCTTATGTATGCATGGTCATCATGCAGCAACGAATAACAAACAAACCCAAGGTAGCTAACTCCAATACTGACAGCAGCCCTGTAGTACTGATACCAGTACAAGGCGACATGTAGAATCACAGAATCATTTAGGTTGGAAAAGACCCTTAAGATCAAGTCTGACCATTAATGTAACACTGCCAAGTTCACCACTAAACCATGTCGCTTAGCACCATGTCTACACATCTTTTAAATTTCTCCAGGGATGGTGACTCAAATAGTTCAGTACAGTCTATCTAAGAGGTGTGCAGAGACTGAGACAGACACGTTTTTCTAAGCAGCAAAGCTTTTTCCTGCTGCATGCTAGACAAAAAGTGTCCTGGAAACTGTTGTGCAGCTTGAACATGATCAGCTTATCTATTATCCTACAGGCAAACGTATGCATTTCACTGTTGTTGCATGTTTGAAAAATTTTCTAATCAGTGAGCACATTTATTATTCTTTTAGACAACACATTTATTATTATTTTAGACAACCTGTGAATCCTGCAGAGGTCAGCTAATCTCTCCTCCATGGCAGGATCAATTTTACTTAGCTTACTCTTGAACAAGATTTGATCCTGAATTGTTGCTACTCTGAGGATACTCAAATGAGAAAGTTTACCTGAGCAATTCATGGCCTGATTTGGCTCCAGAAAAAAATATTTTATATAAATTTCATATATATTTATATTTTAGTGTGGCAGAACTCAAAGAAAAACAGTTCTGAAGTTTACATTCTAACGTTAGCTCCCAATCATTGATCAAAAAATTAAGGTCAGTATTTAAAACTACTCTGCTTCACTAGCAAGTTGAAAATGTCCAATATTTAATATTTTCAGAGCAATATTCTAATCCAGATTTGAAAAGCAATTCACTGTACCAAAATGCTAGATATATTTTGAAATAATCTTTAAATCTACCAGAACTATCTCTGAAAAGCACTAGCACATGGAATGCTGTTATCCTTACAGCTAGAGAAGATAACGTTCATTATATAATATCAGCATTCACAAAACACAGTAGAGCAACACTTAGACATCCTAATTCTCTTTACATCAGTTGAGGTGGAATTCTGCTTTATCTAATTCTCTTTAAGTCTGGGGTAATATCATGTAACTCAGGCACGCAAACCGCATTTTGCTGTTCACATAGTGCAGAACACCAGAGGCTGGCTGGAAAGTGGAGTTACTTTTCAAGTGTCCAGCTATGTTGCTTGCAAGAAAATGCTAAATCTTCTCCAGAAGAAAGCAAACTAGAACTGTATGCCAGCAGATAAAAAGTATTATCCTTTGGTTGCCATGACCGTAGCTCATTCTTCAGCACTGCATGGAGGTTTACATTACATTTTTGGGATATACTAAGCAGCCTACAGCATGTTACCTCACTCTCATATTTCGGACAGTAGGATAAATAGAAGTTTTCAGGCTCTAACCTCTAATTCCTTCAAAAATATGGGTTCTACCCAACTATTTATTTGTGACCTTTAATAGGGAAGTGAGATTTTGATCCACATGGGCTAATTTCTTAAGGAGCTAGGGAAGGACTGCTTCCCTCTAAACTGGGTATCATATATTTGCAAAGATGTTAACTGACATAGTTTACACATACTTTATTTATTTTTCCTTAGCCACTTAAAAGATCATTTTTTACTACAGTTCCCTGTTTATATTTATAATCCACCCAAGTAAATTCAATTAAAAGTAAAAATTGCAAAAAAACTCCAGTATTTCCCTTTCCAACCCCCCCAAATTCATATCTGTGATAGAACAATTCCAAACCCAATAGTTACTTCCTGTCCTGTTTTATCATCTGTTCTTGGTGTTACATAAAGAGCTTATGCTTAATATCAATGCTGAGCTCTTATATAGCATTCTTAATCCATAGATCTCAAAGCATTTTACAAAAGATGATCATTATCCTGCTTCAGCTATGAAAAGAAAAAACATGGAGATCCTCAGGGTGAAATTCAGATCTCACCGGATACCTACAGTCCATAGTGAAGCTAGGATTGCACTTCACATCGCAGTACAACCCGTGAGCCAGAACAGCACCTGTATCCTCAGACAGATCCCATAACACTGGCAGCCTGTGATTTGGACTCCACACACCATTTAGGGATCAATCCAGAGAGAATATAGCTTTTAATATGGTATCTTATTCAGCCTGGCATTCACTAACACGCCTCCCATCCCACATAGGCAGCACTTTTTAACAGTGTACTCTACCTTCTCCCCACTATCCTGCTTACAGCTCTAAACGCAACGTTGCCATCAGTGCTGTAAATAACTGCAGTCAAGTACTCAGGCTTTACTACCGAAATCAATACTGCTGCAGACAGATACACAGATATCAAGGTCTAACGACGCCACTCAGGTGTCTCAAAGTATTTTCACCTCCGCACTGAAAGCCTCAAAGCACCTGATCTGTGGGTAACTAGATATGATTTATCAAGCCTCCCGCCTTCATCCCTTCCTCACCTCTTTTAGATTTGTTTCTTCTCATGCCCACTCTTTACACCTTGCTCTAAGGAATGTGTTTGAATTCACCCTTCCTTAACTCTATAAACTCTCCTGGACTACTCAGAGAACTTAGAACCAAGTACTGGAGCTTGGAGGTATAAGGACTGAAAGCAGACTGTGTACCAACAACCACACAAGGTACTGGGGTATCAATGTGATTGAAAACACTGCACGCTACTGTAGAGCCATAAAAGAAGCAGCAATGTGATCTACTTCAGCAACACATGTGATAAAGTGTGATGATCTGAGAAAACTTCGTAACTTATAGCTTGACATTACAGTTAAGCAGTTACTGTTTTGCCATGCTGTATCAAAAACCGTCTCAGAAACACTCTGGACCCTGGCAAAGCCAAACAAGCTGACCCAAGCGCAAAGATGAGCTGAGGGGCTGTGATCTTCAGGAGAGTATTTGGAACACTTCAGTGCCCAGAACACTGCCTCCTTGGTGGCAAGGTCGCCAAGGAGGAGAAACTCACTCAAGTTTCCCTGCCCATGGGAACGAAGGGAGTCACTGTATTGCACTGGGTGGACAGCGGCCGGCGGCGGAGCTCAGCAGGCAGAGCGCTCCGCAGGCAGCGCTGGGGCAAGACCGCCCCCTGGCGGCACCGAGGGGCCGCGCTGCCGGAGCCGCGCAGGTCCTGCCGGCGGCAGGAAACTCGAGTGAGCTTTTGGAAACGCTGCTCCCCGTCAGGGCTCTCTCCGGCAGCCAGAGATAAAGCCAGCGCAATGTCAGGGTTTATTTTCTCCGGCGGAGGGCAGGCGGTTTGCAACACGTTTCTTTTTTAAGGGGGAGGATGAAAGGTAACCTCGGAGCAGCTGCAATTCAGATTATAAAGGTTTAGTCAGAATCATGTGCTGGCTAAGATGTAATTTATGGCAGCTGTGCTTCATATACAACTAATTTACCAGAAGCGAGGAGCAGAAAAGAATGCACTTTTCATCCTATTTTTTCCACTTTTTTTTTTTTTTTCAGCACTGGTCTACATCTTAATTCCAATATACCGCAGCACAAAAATAGAACATGACTTACTGAAACACATATAAAACATAAACCATGAAATCACTTTGAAGTTTATACCAACCATCCTACTGTTTGGAAGTTGTAGTCAAGTCTCTTAGCATGCCAAAGTACACACATGGACCACAACACATGGAAGAAGAAGAAAAAGAAAACCGTAAAAGTGAGAGAGACAAAAGAATTAATAAAAAAGAAAACAAAGTTAAACAGAAATCTGTAAATTTATACTTTAGCTCATACGAAACCTTTACACATGTTTAGCTTTAACTACAAGTGCTTGGTGGAACTGGAAGTACTACATAAATAGTCTTTTTTATATAAAAGACTTTTCTTAAACAACAGTTTTGCAACTTTGAAATACAGGTTGCTGCATGCGAAGACCCTCAGACTGAAATCACACGTCAACTCCAGCCAAATTCTGGCCCTTACAGTCAAAGTCAGGGACAAAAATGTTACTGTGCCACAATTCCCTGGGACTTCACAAAGAATAAATTCCGAAACCTTACAATCTCAGATGGTTCAAGACTCCTAGGCATATACTTTCTTCTATTATATTGAAATACAACCTCTGATCTATCCCCATTAAACTACTCAGTAAAATTATTTGAAAGCAGCCTGAACTGAATCTCAAAACACTTCACATTCCACAAACAGCATATTTCTTGCTCACAGATAGTAACTCAAACACCCTGCAACAAAAATAACAAACTGTTTTAATTCACAGTTGCAACACATAAGCATGACGAGATCTGCACCTTGTTAATCCCCACTTCCCCACTCCAACAGTTTAAGTTAAATGTCACATTTACATAACATTTACATAAAGATTCGGTTTTGTTTATACAAAACCCAGCCTTATTTTTGCAACATGCTCGATGCTAATTCATTATGTAACAACAGATTGTTTGCTCTATTAAAAAAAAAGAGGTTTAATTCTGAGAAGGTGTTTGACAGACTGCCATTGCTCGGAAGCACTTTAGCATCATTCTTCATTACTGTCTCACCAAGTTTTTTGGGTTTTTTTGTTTTGTTTGGTTGGTTGGTTTTTTTAAACAAACTTGAGCTTTTTGGACACTGTCCTACCCTAAGCAAAGCGCCCCAACTGATTTGATACATCATAGCCACTCGTACAGTTCATGCTTACACCCAATACACTCAAAGCAGAACATTCACACAGTCTCCCACACTATCCAAGGCTGGATCTTGTAGCTGGGAACATTTCAGAAGCTTCCAAGCACTATCCAGTTTGGGGTTTTTTAATACCACTTCAGTGTTATCACTGCTTTCAACAGAAATACAGTTAGACCAGTGTCAACCTTCAAAAACTACCAAGAGCAGCAAACAGTGCAAAACTTCCAGCATGTCCAAAAGCAGAGCTCACAGAAGTCTGCGACAAAGCTGGGTGTAACTGCAATATCTTTTTATTGAAAAGAGCTATAGCTTTCAGCTCCTCCATGTAGGAGACTCTACAGATAGATTGACTGCTGTTCTCTTCTGTATTTTAGAACTTAAATTTTGCAGAAACCCTAAGGTCCCATATTGAAAGAAAATTTAAAGAAGAAATAATTCCTAAGCTAATACCACTACCTCTTCACAGTAATAAACACTATAATCTTAAAACCACTTATAAACTAGACACAGAACCATTCAATCACATCTAGTGATTACTATAACTGCTTTTATTAGCAACAAGACTACATTTTTTGGTTTTCAATGTGCTAACTTAATCACAAAACTTCATATAAGTCTCTACAAGAGCTGTCTCTAGCACATCGTATATGCGTCACAAGACATACAGAAAATGGCAAAAATTACCTTTCATTCTTCCTGGCTAAAGAGATAACATTATAGCAGGGCTTTTTGTCCAAAAGGATGTTTTTATAATCTAACTTGGAAACAGCCTTTTTCTGTGTTAGTCTGCTCTAGAAACTTGTTTCACAGCTGGACACCCTTGGCTGAATACGCTGCTTGCACTGGCTTTATCCGCACTGCTCCAAAAGTGTGCAATTATCCAAGGGAGTCAAGAATAGTGAATATTTGCTATAGCCTCATGCCCTGCTAGTCCTCATGTGGTTGAGAGGCTAGGGATGGGAGTCAGAGAGGACCCAAAAGAGAATGCAAGTACAGCAGTTGCACATATCCTACACCGAGTGGTCCCAACTGCACATGAACTACGTTATCAGCATCACTGGATCCTTCTTCTGGAAGTGTATCAGTAGATTTAAGTGGAATGATGCAGTGTGTCACTTGTGTCTTTGGCAGTTTTTACCCTGTACGTTACTTTGATGACTACAGATAGATACAGATTGTTGTTTAATCAATACAGCACCTTTGTGCCAGCACCAATACAAGTGAGAAAAATAAGACAGAGAACAAATTGTCATAGACATACTGCAGGTAACACTAAGAAGAAAGTATTGCTTATTCAGTGGGTCTCCTAGAGACTTGAAGGCTACATATAAAAGTTAAATGCATCTGCTCCAACTAGTCATTCAGGACTCCCAGGCAAAGCAGCACAAAGATTTGACAAAATTGATTAGGCTTAACCTCATCTGGAATGGACTGGCCAAATCCACATAATGCAGAAATTGCCCTTTAGAACACTGTGTTTTTCTCAAGGTGGCTAAAGGAAGACAAGGACAGCACCACGGTCATTTCTTATGGCAAAATACAAAGGTTATGTGCTGACTAAAAGCACAGCCTAAAAAGAGAAGGGAAGTCCTAAGGGTGAAAGCTACTGGGCAATCCTGGGGAACTGCACAGGAAGCCAAAATTGGTGCCCTTGTATCCAAACCACCTACTGGGAAGGGCCTGTGGCATCAATCCCCAGAACCACACTCATATTTTTCTTCCTGAGGAACTAATTTGGTTTGCTCCAAAAGACAGCTTGGGCATACAATGTTGTGCATGCAGTAAGGGCAACTAGGTGACCAGGACACAAAGTGAACCACAAGGCCAAGGTTCTTGACAAAGCGGAGAAGAAAGGATGCATCCTTGTGGGACCAAGTGATTTCAAAGACAGAGGTGGTTATCCAAACACTTCTATTGATCCTTTTGCAAGAAAAGTGGAATTCTTTAATGCTGTGCTGCCTAGCCCAGCTACAGTATATTAGAACATCAACATTATTATATGGGCAGTCACATTTAAAGCAGCAGCAGAGAGACTATATAGCACTAGCACTGGTATTTGGTTGCCAAAAAAGAATCATGTGGCACCCAAACAGGGGACTGCGTGTAGCTGTTGGAGCTCAGAACCATCGCTGATCTTTTCTAGCAATGAGGGATTCAATACAAACTGAAAGGGACAGTTGCATCAAAACACTGACTTTCCAAGATCACGGTGTGTTAGAAAGAAGGTGAAAGCTCAGATGTGTTGCATTTTTTTGGCTGGTTGGGTTTTGGGGGATTTGTTGGGTTGGGGGGTAGCTGTTGTGTTTTGGTTGGTTGATTGGGTGGTCTGTTTGGTTTTTGTTGGTTGGTGGTGGTTGTGGTTTTGGTTTTTTTTTTTAACAGAAACAATGACAGCAAGAATTGCTCAGGTTTTTTTTAAGCAGCAGCATAGATCTCTTCGGCTTGGGATGGACTGAATATTGTTGAGCACTTCAGTGACTCTACGCTACCCATAGGGGTTACATATAGTGACTTCTCACTGTCTCAAATAGAGAGTTGAGACGTCTTTTAGGAGGAAATACCTGCACTTTAGAAGTCTGACCTCACAGCAATAGTCTCAATGGTACTTTTCTGAACAGAGTAGAACAACAACAAAAAAAACCTGATTTTTTTTTTTTAGTTTACTTAAACCAGTTATCAGATAGTTCACTAACATCATTATTATGTTATTCTTTTGGGTAGCATGGAGGTCCTATAGGATTCTACAGTGAACAAGAGTTGAACTGACTTTTCCTTATCTTTTCATGAGTGTACTTTATTTAGAACCATAATCCCTCTTTTGCAATGGGACCATTCTGCCCTTACATGGAAGTGGTGCCTTGTTTCCAATTTTTTTTTAAAAAAAGGACAGAGGTGGCAACACATACTAAATTTTGATCCCAGAGCTAAACTATGCCTTGCCTTGCCTGAGAAAACTAGAAAAGGGGATAGTTTTCAAGCTCTGTAGTTGGAGAACTTTTGAACCAGGTAATAAGCTAAACCTCAATAAGCTACAACTCTAAACAAGCTAAAGTCATTGCAAACCATGGGGTGACCTGTGAGCACTGCTAACAGATAGACCTCTTTGGAAAATACTGGAGGTGCATGGTTCTGCAGCTCTTTTCAAAGCCAGAGTTGTACTGGAATGAGTATGATTCGCACTTCTTCAAAGGCACGGCAGTGCTGAAAGGACAGAGATTTTTCAAAACATCATGACTCCAGAAACTGTCATTCTTCTCTCCTGCCCTCACATCAGCATTGTCCTAAAAGATGCAATGTTTGGCATTAAGACAGTAAATATTCTCACATGTTCACAATTTTATTCCATCCAATGGTCCATTCTCAGCACTGGATTAAGTGCCTGGATAAAATAGCTTCAGTGAGCAAACAGCACCAGGCAACCTCTCCTCTTGCTTTTTCCCCCTCTGAACTGCTACCCCAAAGGCTATTTTTTTGCATTTTGAACTCTGGAAATACACCCATTGCTCCATTCTGAGAATGCCTACATTTAGGAAACACAGGATTGCTTTTCCTGTAGTGATGCAGAGGAAAAAAAATTACTGTTTTTATGATACTTGTGTGATTCAAATAACATTAATTTTGCTGATTC